GTTTGTTAAGGGCATTCGGCATTTTTATCGTGACTGTAAGGCTGGAGTAGTTTTTCAGTTGAGCGGAAGCTTTGGGGTGTGGATGTGACTACTGAGGATTCCGGAAGTACAGGGAGTCGGGAGAAGGTAGCACATTCCGATCCCGAGAAAGCCTGGAGATTTCAGTCACAAAACCCGCATAACAAAATTTTCAGCAGAGCCTATCTTGATGAGGTCCATCCTGAAACATTGGAGTCAGACTGGGGATGTGAACAGCTCCACGTTTCTAAACATACCACCACCCCAATATAGCCAGAAAAATTTTAAATTAGTTGATAGCCTGGAGAGATAGTACAGAGGGTTAAGTAACTGCTTACCTGACATATGATCCACAAAAGGCTTGTCATCGGAGTTGACAACAATGTAGGGATCTAAACCTTCCTCACAGTGAAGAAATTGGACCCACGTAAGAAGGGACCTGAGTCCTTTATTGAGTGGAAACAGGTTCTGACAGGAGTCAAACCCACAAAGCCTAGGTGCTTTGAGAAAAGTCGAGTGGCCCATTTGCTGCTATCCCAAAGAGCAACTGGAAGTTGGGTGCTCCACATCATCAACAGGGGCTGGGGAAGCAATTCAAGTAGATATACCACATCCTATTGTGTGAAACTGAGTTCCATCCCCAGTTCCACATGTCTGCCCTTCCTCAGCACCGTTAGTGTGGCCCCTAAAACAACAACAACAACAAAAAAACATGAAGCCATAGCACACCTGGGAAGATACTTGCCTTGCATGCACCCAACCTGAGTTTGATCCCCAGCACACAAATGGTCCCCCTGAAGTGTCACTATGATTGTGAGCACTGCCAGGTGTGACCCCAAACAAACAAAAAGCACTTGTTGGGCCTGGAGCCATAGTACAGCAAGTAAGATGTTTGCCTTGCAAGTGGCTGAGCCAGGTTCAATCTGCAGCATTCCATATAGTCCCCCGAGCCCACCTGGAGTAAGCCCTGAACACTGCCAGGTGTGGCCTAAAACACCAAGGAAAAGAAAAACAGAAAAACACTTGTTAGCAATATTACACAAGCAACATGAAGAATCAGTGTAAGACTGCAGCTGGGACAGGTCTTTGTGAGGGTGTGTGAGTCCCCTAGAGGCAGCCCAAGATATGCCCAGCAGACAATGAGGTGTATGTCCAGTCTTTAAGGCAGAAGAAACTTCTGTCTTCTGCTGGTGCCCAGAGTGGCAGTATCGTAAAGGGGCTCTACACTGGCAGCTCAGTTCAGAGCTAGCCCCACACCACAGGGAATTCTCTAACTGATGCTGCAAGAGAACCAGAGACTCACATAACTCAGCCCATACCTTCATCAGCCTAAGAAATATAGTATTTCTTTTAGTATTTTCCCCTTTGGCAGCTAGGGTTCATTTTGGTTAAACTTCACCAGCAGGATAGTATAGCGCAGGATGCTTGCTTCACAGGCAGCTGACTTAGATTCAATCCCTGGCACTCCATACGGTCTCCTGAGCCCCACCAGGAGTGATCCCTGACTATACAGCCAGGTGTAAGCCCCAAGACTGTTAGGTCACTGTCATTATCACTGTCCTCCTGTTGTTCATCAATTTGCTCGTGTGGGCCCAGAAACATTGTGAGACTTGTTACTGTGTTTGACATATCCAATATATCACGGGTAGCTTGCCAGGCTTTGCCTTTTTTTTTGTTCTGTTTTTCTTTTTGGGGTTACACCCATCAATGCTCAGGGGTTACTCCTGGCTCTGCACTCAGGAATTACTCCAAGCAATGCTCAGGGAGATGATATGGGCTGCCGGGGATCAAACCCGGCTCAACCACTGCAAGGCAAGTGCCCTACCCCGCTGCACAACCCAACGGTGGTTTGGTTCTTTACCTGATAACCAAGCTGCTCTCTGCTGGACTGGAATTCCAAAGTGGCCTAACCTAAATGCCCTGGGTCTCAGATGTTTAAAGTCTAACTGACTGAGCACTGACTCTCAGCTGTAATGCTGCTGTTCTCATTTAGACACTTTCATTTTGGTTTGTTTCGGGCCCACACACGCAGCAATACTCTCCCAGCTTGGTGTCCAGGACTTGTTCCCAGTGGTTCACGGTGATTATGTGGTACCAAGGATCAGATCCAGGCTCCTGCATGCAAAGTCTGTACTCCAGCCTTTTGAGCTCTTGCCAGCTTAGTATTCTTGTCAGATTTCTCATCGTCAAGAAGGCCAGCCACACGTTCTAGGTGAAAAGGAAGCTCAGATAGAGAAGAGAGCACCAAATGAAGGGTGTTGTGAGGACCCTCCCAGGGTGGGAGAAGCATGTTAAAAGTAGTCTATAGACCAAACATGATTGCCACTCAATGCCTCTCTTGCAAAACACAGTACGCAAAAGAAGAGAGAGAGAGCAAGGGGGAATACCCTGCCACAGAGGCAGGATGGGACAGGGGGATGGGGGGTGGGGGGGGATGCTGGGACCCGTGGTGATGGATGACGGGCACTGGTGGAGGGATGGGCACTTGATCATTGTATAACTGAAACCCAAGCACAAAATTTGTAAGCCTATAACTGTACCTCATGGTGTTTCACTAATAAAAAAAAATTATAGAGTTAAAAAAAAAAAAGTAGTTCCATCCGTGTATCTCTCTCCAGCATATGTGTAGTCACCCAGACTTATGTATAGTCACCTTGCTGATCCCCAAATTTAATCAGATTATAATCAGGAGTTGCACTTTGATCACCTTGATCCACCCCCCTCCCCCGCCCCTCTACCCAACCTCACAACCCTGAAGCCAGTTTACTTGGTTTCTATAAATTCAAGGTGTCTTTGATTGCTCACAGAAGTAAAATCATGAAATATATTTGTCTTTCTCCAACTTTCTAAACTTAGCACAATACCCACAACTTGTTGTCCAGATTGTTGCAAATAGCAGAATTTCCTTCCTTTTTATTACTAGATGGTTAAAGTTCTCTTAAAGCCCAGCCTCGGAGTCCCAGAATGTAATTTCATGTATTCTACTGGTTAAAAATAAATTTTAAAAAACGTTGTATCAGAAATGTGATACAATGTTATTGGCAACAAGCATATATGAGACCTTGGGTTCAATTCCCAAGGCCACATCACCCCTCAAGTGGACAGCAGACAGCAGTGCCAAGAGTGACTCCTCCAAAAATAGTTGTAAGACAGAGGAAAATAAGCCCTTCTGTTGACAGGAGACAAACCTTTTGAGAGGAAGCAAAAAGGTATGAAAAACGGGGTTTCAATCACGTTTGGAAAGTTCCACAAGCACAGATGCCCCTTTGAGTCTACGTCCAACCCGAATCCTGTAGTTGAACTACCGAAATGATCTTCCTAGTCAGTCTCCTGGGTTTCATGGTTCCCACAGGCCAGAAGGTCGGGTTGTAGCTCAGCAGTAAAGCTCTTACATAAAATAGAACAGTCAAGTAGAGAGGCTGGAGCAATAGCACAGCGGGTAGGGCGTTTGCCTTGCACGTGGCCAACTCGGGTTTGATTCCCAGCATCCCATATGGTCCCCTGAGCACCGCCAGGGGTAATTCCTGAGCGCAAAGCCAGGAGTAACCCCTGTGCATCACCAGGTGTGACCCAAAAAGAAAAAAAAAAGTAGAACAGTAGAGTGAAAAGGAGGAGAAAAGCAGTCAATGCCTTGTCAACCCAGGTTCAATCCCCAGCACCTGATCTGATCCCCCAAGCTCAATTCAGTAGTGGTCCCTGAGGGCAAAGCCAACACCACCAGGTGTGGCCCAAACACCAAAAAAATAAAATAAAATAACAAATATGGGCCCGAGGGACGAGCAGAGCCTGCCCAGCTGTCACCCTTGATGGCTCTGAGGTTCACTGCCAGGCCATGGCATTTGTACATCTTTTCATGTGCTCACGGGGACTATACCCCTTTTTGGTTTTGTTTTGTTTTGATTTGCTTTTTGGGTCATACCTGGCAATGCACAGGAGTTACTCCTGGCTCATGCACTCAGGAATTACTCCTGGCGGTGCTCGGGGGACCATATGGGATTCTGGGAATCGAACCCACGTGGGCCACGTGCAAGGCAAACGCCCTACCCGCTGTGCTATCACTCCAGCCCCTATATCCCTTTTTTTTTTTTTTTTGTGGCGCTTACACACAGCTGGCTATGGTAGCACCAGGAATTGATTGCAGTTCCCTTGCTAAAAGTGTAACTCTCAGTTCTTTCCTTTGGTTTCTTTCCACTCTAAAAACTTAAGACCATGCAGGCAAGAGGATAAGAGGCCTCAATCTTCCCACCTGCTGGCTTGTTGCCAATAAACCTTTCTCCACCATCACTGTCTCTCACCTTTGGCCCTCAAACCACAATGGAATCAACCTCCATAGTTACACATCGATTTGTCTTTTTCTTTGTCTGGGGGCCACACCCAGCAGTGCTCAGGCCTTACTCCTGGCTCTGCACTCAGGAATCACTTCTGGCAGACTCGAGGGACCTTATGGGGTGCTTGGGATCAAACCCAGGTCAGCTGCATAAAAGGCAAATGCCCTACCCACTGTACGATTGCTTCAGCTCCTGGTTTGTCCTTTAGGACTGGTTTGTCTCCTAACCACCAGAAGGTTACAAGCAAAACTGGGGTCACATCAGCTAGATGCTTTCCCAGAAGTTGCGGAGTTTTCTCTTAACCTCTTCCTCAGTAGAATCATACCACATAATTTGTCTGAACTGGGTGAGGGGAGTGAGGACACTCTGCTCAGTTAAAGCCATCAATGTTTAACCTTTCAGTATCTATATTGCAAACCACAACGCCCAAAAAGGAGAGAGAGAGAGAGAGAGAGAGAGAGAGAGAGAGAGAGAAAGAGAGAGAGAAGAAAAGCACCGGCCATAAAGGTAGGCTGGGTGGGATGGGAGGACACTGGTGTAGGGATGGATGTTGGAACACTGTATGACTGGAACCTATTCGTGAACAGCTTTGTAAGAGTCTATCTCACAGTGATTCAACAACAACAAAAAAAATCTTTTAAAAAAAATAATAATAGAGCACCTAAACCCAAGAGCTGCTGCTTCTCGTAGCCGCAGCTTAAACAGCGTTGCCGACAGCAATTGCATCTCTTTTGGGGGGCTGGGCAGTGCCCCTTAGAGTGAATTTGGAGGTTCTACATGGCTGGTGTGTGTGTGGGGGGAGCAGCGCAGGGGTTGGAGGGGATCATCAGCCCGACTGTCTCCACAGAAAATAATGAAACACAAAATAAAAAATAAAAAAATAATAATCATATGGAATTGTTGTAAGTCAAATTACCTTAATAACAAATCCATTAAGTCACAAAAGAGAACCAAAATTGAAACAATAAATAAACAAATAAATAAATAAATAAATAAATGAAACCATCAAATTTTCCTCCCTGTGAGGAGAGACTCGGGAGGCTTCTCTGGAAGTCAGGATTTCCTGGAAGAGCCACCAGAAAGCCAGATGGTTGCAGACCTGGAAATATATCAGTAACTTAGAGCACCAGCCTTGCAAACCTATGGTCACAAGTTCAACCCCCAGGACCACTACATGTGCCCAGTGCAATCCTGGCAGCTCTGCTGCCTCTGCTTGCTCTCTGGCATCACCAGGCATTTCAGGCTGCACCACAGTCTGGTGTGTGCAACTATGACAGCTAAATCACATAACCCCAATGAGTACCACAGTGAACCAAACGATAACCCCTGGCAAACACAAATGTAAGCACTCCTGCAATCTCCCCAGCAAGCGCTGTAACCAGAACATGTATGCCACAAGAGAGAACAAAGGGAAAGATGCTTGCTAGCACGTGGCTATGGCCACAACCCTGGTTTGAATCCCAGCACCACATACAGTTCTCCCAAGTACCACCAGCAGTGGCTTCTCAGCGCTGTGGGCATGGCTTACAAAAACAAATAAAGAAGTGATTAAAGAAGTCTGCAATTGAATCCTTAGTTCCCCGGCATCTCTGAGAGCAACACGTCAGCACTGTTCACAGAGTAGCCCCTGAGTACTACTGAGGCCCCCAAATCAAAACAGAACAAAAAGGCCTGAAATTGAGCCACAGTGTCAGTTGGAAAAGTGGCTCTGCCAGCCGTGCACCCCACTTTGTGGGACAGGCTTGAGGCAGCCCTATCCAGACTGTGCAGACTGTAAGGTTCCTGCAACAGGGGTCGGGGACTCTGCAGTCACCCGTGCGGATGTGAATTCCCGCTGAGCTGCAGCCTGGTGAAAGTCCTCTATCATTTCTTCTTCTTGTGTGAGGAGGGAGATATTATTATTATTATTATTGTTATTGTTATTGTTATTGTTATTATTTTATTGAATCACCATAAGATACAGTTACAAAGCTTTCATGTTTGAGTTTCAGTCATACAATGATTGAATGAATACCCATCCCTCCACCAGGTCACATTCCCCACCACCAATGTCCCCGGTATCCCTCCCGCCATCCCCACCCCATCCCACCTCCTGCCTCTATGGAAGACAATTTCCCCCATACTCTGTCTCTACTTTGGGGCATTATGGTTTGCAATACAGATACTGAGAGGCCTTCACATTTGGTCCTTTGTCTACTTTCGGCACACATCTCCCATCCCGAGCGACCCCACTAACGATCTTTGATCTAGTGATCCCTTCTCTATTCCAGCTGTCTTCTCCCCCAGCTCATGAGGCAGCCTTCCAACTATGGGGCAATATTTCTGGCCCTAGTGTCTACTGTCCGTGGGTGTCAGTCTCATATTGTGTTATCTTATATTCCACAAGTGGCTGTAGTCCTTCTATGTCTGTCCCTCTCTTTCTGACTCATTTCACTTGGCATGATACTCTCCATGTCCATCCACTTATAAGCAAATTTCAAGACTTCATCTCTCCTAACAGCTGGGTAGGGAGGGAGCTCTTAGACAGTGCTTTAGGGCCCAGGGACCATTCCTGGTAATCCTCAACCAATCCAGCAGACAGTTGAATGCCCAGGTCTGAGAATGTGGAGCTAGCCTGGCCCTGCGATGTGGGTGCTGATATCAGGAATTACCTGGGCCACCCAAGCAGTGCTCAGGGCCTACAGAGCCACACCTGGGAACCTTGGAGGTGCATATGGTGTGGGGGAAGCAGCAATGGTCGGTAACCCCTGTTCTCTCTCTTGGGCCCCTCTGTCATTTCTCAGCTGGCCAATGGTTATGGGTTCTTTGAGTTCTCTCCACATGCTGGGATTTCTCCCGCCTCTCAATCCTCACTCAATCCTTTTCTTCACTGGGGATCACCCCTGGGGAGACTGGAGGGCCAGCCTGAGGGGCCAATCCCAGTGAAACTCAGTATTACTCTGCCGTGCTGAGGGCTTGATGGCATGTTGTCTTGCTCAGGGATCCCATGCTGCTCGGGCCACACCCGCCGGGGGAATCCCGTGGGACACCCCTGCAGGGTTTTGGACTCTGCATGATGCCAGACTCTAGCACGACATCTTCCATATGCTTAGGACGCTCCACCACTTCCTCTGTCTCCTGATCCCTGTCCTGCTACCATTCATCTCCCATCTCCCAGTCTTCATCTATTTCCTGGTCCCTGTCTGGGCATAGTTTTCAAATAGTTCATGTCATTTCTTGTGTCAACATCCTTCAGTGAATTACTACTCTTGCTCTGAAATACTTTGCCATCTTTTTTTAATCTTGTGATCTAGATAAGGTAAAAGGTAAGGTAAAGGCCCTCCCGTTGGTCATCGATTTGCTCGAGCGGGCCCAGTAACGTCTCCATTGGAGACTTTGTTGTTACTGTGTTTGGCATATCGAATACTCTCGGTAGCTTGCCGGGCTCTCCGAAAATGTATTATTTTAAACTTAATGATTGTGAACAAGATATGCTCAGGATGAAATCTCTCACATCCATTCTTATTCTTTTTTTTTTTTTGCTTTTTTTGGGTCACACTTGGCGATGCACAGGGGTTACTCCTGGCTCTGCACTCAGGAGTTACTCCTGGCGGTGCTCAGGGGACCATATGGGATGCTGGGAATCGAACCCGGGTCGGCAGCGTGCAAGGCAAACACCTTACCCGCTGTGCTATCTCTCCAGCTGTTTTACCTTGTGATCTAATCCTGGACTATTAACTGCTCTAGCCTTGCCTGGCATGGCCCCTTCCCTCCCTCGGACGCACTCACAGCTGACTTCCTAAGTTCCTCCAGTTTGCTGTGCCTTCTGTTCTTCAGGGTTCTCTGTGGTAGTTTGTCTTCTTCCAGGAAATGGAATCTGCTGGCTGTGACAGACATTGGTTCATTTTTCTAACAACCCATGGGCAGAGGTAGGAGGTGGTAGCCTCCGTCCCCTGGCACAATGCCAGGTTTCCCAGCTCCCTTCACTTACATCATCGTGCATCTGAGATTTGACAGTTAAACATGGACAGAACTGATGGCTACCCTTCCATGCCTGGCTCCTAAGGTTCTCTCTGTGCTTGCTCACAGAATGCAAGTTGAGGCAGTAGTTATTAGGCTCATCAGAGACTTATTACAAATGCGGAAGCTCAGGTCTTACCCAGATTGACTGAATCCCTTCCCCCAAAATGTTTTATCATTTACATTTTTATTAATGAAATAATTAAACTCAGGTCATTTGTTTGTTCTTATACATGATTTGATCTGAAAAAGTGAAAATTCTTTATGAGGCCTTAAGTAAGAACATGAAGATACTAGTGCCATCAAAAATAGCATATTGGGATGATCTCTTTAATAAAGTTAGGTAAGTGAAATTAAAAAGAACAAATTAAATATTAAAAAAGACAGCAATCTCTCCCCGTGAGAGATCATAGAGGCTTCCTTTAATAGTCTTCAATGTAGCTCATTTGCAATCATAAAACTCTCATCATCTATATCAGATTGTCCAACCCCCCCCCGAAAGGGAAAAACTGAGGGAACTCAAGGGAATTTTTCTGCTTCATTATAAAGTACACCAAAATGGTGCTTATCTCCTTTGAATGGTACATAAGATGCACACATAATGGTTTCCTTTTCCATTATTCTTCCAAGTATTTCCATAATTCCAGAGACTTCCTCATCAAGAGACCTCATCAACCGAACAGTTCCATTTTTTCCTTCAGTGGAATTAATCTTTTCCAGCCTCTCTAGAAAGCAGACTGTCTGGTTAGTGAACTGAACATGCTGGCATCAGAACATAATCTGGGTAACTCAATCACCTCCACCAAGATTTCCTAGGCATGAATACTGAATTTGAATTTTTAGCAAAGTGCCAAAGGAACTGAAGACATTGACATGTGCTTGTGACTACAGGGAGAAGAGTTCCACATTCTTAAAGGCAGGGGTGGAACAGCCAGCAGTAGTTGGTTACTATGTGCGAAGGACTTGCTAAGCACTTATAAAGGAACCTCAAAGACAAATTCTATTCCGATCCCAGTTAAAAAACAAGACAACTGAAATGTCAGAGAGGAATTTATTCCAGGTATGTGTTGGTGGGGTGTGTGAACCATGCAGGCTAATGCCAAAGTAATATGCTTAACAATTGAAGTTCTAGCCTTAAGCCTAACTAGTCTAACACATGCCATTATTGATTTGTCTATTCACTGAGATCACTGAAAAGCCAGAACAGAGTGCCATCCTATTTCTATCCAACAACATTCATGGTCACGGTCCTCCCATTGTTCATCGATTTGCTCAAGTGGGCCCAGTAACGTCTTCAACATGAGACTTGTTGTTTCTGTGTTTGGCATATCGAATACATCACGGGCAGCTTTCCAGGCTCTGCTGTGCGTGGGAGATACTCTTGGTAGCTTGCCGGGCTCTCCAAGAGGGGCGGAGGAATCGAACTCGGGTCGGCCATATTGACCACTTGTAAGGCAAATGCCCTACCCGCTGTGCTATCGCTCAGGCCCCCAACAACATTCAATTATTGTAAATGAAGCTTGGAACATATCCAAAAATTTTTTTCTAATTTTTAAAAAATTTTAATGCATCTATAAGCCTTATAAGGAAACTAGTCTTACTGGTCTACACGGAAGTGATTATATTTTATATATTATATTATATTGAAATATATATTATATTATATTATATATAATGAGGGGTTTTTTAATGCATAAAAGAAACATAAGACTATCTTTCTATTAGCTTTTAATACAAAAGGCTTTGCAATATGTAAGTCACACAGCCTCCTCTGGTGGTAAA